AAAACTTTAATATAAGTTTAACATAACAGCAAATGTAAAACGTTTCGACAAGGTTTTGTCATCATCAGGTGATGACAGAACCTTGTCAAAACGTTGTACATTTGCTGTTATGTTAAACTTATATTAAAGTTTTTCTTCATTACCCATTCAAGCCATCTCCAGTCATTATTAGTCTCAATGTGGGTTCCTCGTCATCAAATTTAACTATAGGAGTGTAAAATTAAGCCTCAATCAGTGCCATAGTTTTAGAACTGATGTAAGTACTTTATCCATACAAGTTTAATTCAATTCACACCTAACCACAATCATTTATTAATTTCAACAATTTTATCTTATCAAATCTTATCACTTTATATGCTAGTTAATCTAACAAATTAATTATCTGCTTATCAGTCTACGAATAACAGTCTATCTTTCTGTTTATCCATTTATACATGTAACAACCTACCCTACCAACTATTTATATATTTAACTTATTGTATGACTTATATATCCATTTACCCATCTCACAACCTATTGTATCACCTATATGTCCATTTATCCATCTAACTACTCAACACTATCACCACGGGTATCCTTTACTGAACATGACATATGGTTTTAGTGTTTTATATTCAAAATTCTATTAAACTACTTTTAGTTTGTGTTATACCAATTAGAATAGCATAAAATCTTAGCTAATAATCCATCTTTTAATAGTATATAAGTTTAACTTCTTAATTCAACAAGGCAATATTCAAAAAAATCCTGAATTTCCCATAGTGTGACCCACATGACACATTTTCTCTTAGCATGTCATCTTCCCTATTTTATCCACCACCTCGAAAAAGTATGAAACTAAATGTAAATTACTCTCTATGAAATTGTTATTGCTCAGACAAACTATGATTTTTATAGTCTTCAATTTTTTTTGGTTACAGAGTTACCCAATAGAAAATCAGACCCCTCCTGCCACACCCCCTTTTTCAGAATTTGTTAATAGTTCTCTCTTAAGTTTAATTATATATTACCTATAACCAATAGAAAGTCAAGGTCTTCATCTATCAAATGACATATTGTATAGCACTATGTTCTGAATAGTTAAATGTAAATTTTACTTAGAGTACCAACATTGTTCCCATGAGAAAGTTAATGACTAGCTTGGATGAATTTGTAACGATTTTTGTTGCATAGTTAGAAAGCCAGAAATATTTTTAGAGGTAAGGGAATTTGTCTACTTTTAGCAAATTATTAGTCTATATTCTTTGGTACGTTATTTAACTAAATAAAATTATTATGCACATTACTATCATTAGCATTAAAAAAGAAGATTGGTTAGGTATTTGATTTCTTGTTTTTCATGTTTATTCTTTATGTCTAATTATAAAAGTAACTAAAATGTGAAAATAGGGATCCTTTTAGGTTAGTTATGATTAGATTAGGAAAGTGAATAATAATAATAATATTTCATGAGGCACACATGCGAGCAGCTCGTAAGTAGCTTGTGGGTAATGTAATTTGTTAGCATAACATGAGCTGCACATTCCCCAAGTGATTTACAACTTATAATGGTGCGGATAGTAGTTAGACACAGTTCCAAGGGTAATAAAACAATAAAATTTAATTATAAATAGATGTATACTGTTACAAACTTAGAGCTACTTAGGATAAATGAATGTAGTTTCATGTTATAATGTGAAGTCATTCTAGAACAAAAAAAGGGTAATTTAGATTTATTTTTTGGATGGTTACAAGGTCGGTCGATTTGACTGATTTCGTTTTGAGATAGAGTAGAGAAAATAACAGATAAACTATAAAGTTTTACTAAAAAAAGATGTTTGAAATGTATTTAGGAGGTTTTAAGGATTACACAAAGGTTATTTGAGATTTTTCAGATGAGGAAAAGTATTTATAATTTTAACATGAATATTACTTTTCACACAGACTATTCAAAATAAATACTCAAATACTTGACTGTAAAATATGATTTTTTGTATGTGAAAGACTTATAATATTAACTGAAAGACTGCCAAATTTTGTGAAGATATACACACTATATTAAAGTTAGAAGTATTAAATCTATAAAGATTTTAAACAACTCTAAAGAGGTCACATGGTCGGTCAAATTGGCCAAGCCCGTATTCAGAAAGTTAATGTTCTTCTCTTTCCATTCATCCATCTAACATTCTATATACATATATGTATCCATTCATCTATCTAATAACCTATTGTACTACCTATCTCAGTGGTTTCAAAATGGGCTGTTATCTCGTACTTTTACCCATCAATTATCAATCTGGATATGGCTACATATAAAGATCAAAAAACATTATTGAAATTCCTTTTCAATTTCCTTGTAAAAACCAAATTACTGGGTTATTTGTATGACTCACAATAACAAACATATTTGAGCACTTATTAATTCCTGCAAAGTGTGATATGTGTTATTCTGATGATTAATATATGAACAGCAAAGAGAAAAGTTATAATTTTATTAATCTTTCCAACTTTCAAAATGGTAAGAATTAGGTACTTATGATTACAAAACACACAGTTCATGTTTTAAGGGTTTTATTGTACATGGATCTAAGAAGTATTGTGAGCCCCAAGTAAACCTGACTGATTCAAGTGATCTAATGTGATCTCTTTCATTCAATAATACACTTGTGGAATAAAATTTGTGTGGAAGCATCACATTTTATGAGATTATATTTAACATATACTCATAGTATGATTATACATTTTGAAGGAAGATCATGAATAATTGAAGAATTTAATAAGAGTCATGTGTAGTTCTATAATAAAAAGTATTTTTTTAAATAATATGTTTTGTGTTTTCTTATGAGTTATTACTATTGTAAAACCTACTGTCAATTCATCCAATTCACAATACCACATATATGTCCACTCATCCATTTAACAACATACTGTACCATATATGTATCCACTCATCCACCTCACAACTTACTGTACCACCTACCCGTCCATTCGTTCATCTATCACCATAGTATATTATCTATGTATCCATTCACCCATCTAACAACACAATGTACCACTTATGTATCCATTCACCTACTTGACAACCTGTTGTATCACATATCTGTCTATTCATCCATCTATTAACCTATTAAGTTTGTCTGCTTGATTATTCATCTAATCCTATCATCTAAACATTCATTCATCATGCACCAACTTACCATTCCACTTACATATTCATTAATCTACTCCATACCTTAGATTCCTTCCTGTTTATCAAATCTTTAGTTACTGTAAACATTAGTTTTTCTATTTATGCATATATATCAACCTTTCATTACTACATATATCTATACCTATCAAATTTGCCTTCATAATAAATGTATAATAACTGTCTATGGATATAAGGATTTTTTTTATTAATAGTCAAATCAAGATTTATCTGTCAGTTTTGGAAGCTACTCCTTGGATCACATGTTAGTTGTGGCCTAAAATTAGTGTTTTTTATTTCTATTAGCACCCAATAAATGAAGTTATCCATACAAATGAAAGCTTTTTTGTTGTTACTGTTTCATTTAGAACACACCAAGAAATGCACTGATGTGGTTTCTAATAACCATATTCAATTCTATTTAAATGTCTCACCTCATATAAAGCCCATCCATCTAATGACTTAAGATCAATCTTAAATGCTAATTTCTGCATGGCATCAGTAGCAGTATCTGAAGGGTGTAGATCTATTGCCTTAGTTTTTCCATCCATAAAGTAAAATCGACACACCAGGTTACTCATATTTCTTACAGCCTGTTGTGAATGTTACCAAAATGATTTCTATTAATTACTACAAAAGTTTATCTTTTTCTTTTCTACTAACAAAAATTATACATTAAAAGTAACAATCTGGTTATCAGCTGAGAAATATTTTTAACAAGCTAATGAATTAGAAGAAAAATAATATTTTGTAAGCATTTTTCATATAATTAATTCAAATATATTTTCATATAAGTTGATTGTTCTTAGATTAATGAAGTCACACATTAATAAAGATTCACAATCTAAATATTTTATGGAATTTAATACAGTCCGATTTTCACAGGTATTCTCAATGGTGATAACAATTATTAATTTCTTTTTCAATTTTACTCAAAGTGTAATCATTTTAATGTTTTTGAACTTAATGTATTTTTCAACACAAACAGAAATAAATTCAATTCAGCACTTGCTTATGAAACTTATTTTATTGTTTGCAACAAACTTTAGTAACTTGAACAGATATGTATGTCACTGATTTTGTTTTGATGAATTTGTCCAGGCATTCTTTATGTAATAGGTCTCAATTTCAAAATTCTGGATACAACTCTATTTTAACTTTTAAAAAGTGTTATGAAAATAATAGTAGAATATAAACAATTTCAGTGTTTACACTAACACTTGAATTTGGTTAATCCCAGGAACTAAACCACTTGGAAAACAATTGGATCTCATTATATTTATTTTTTTTACAAAAACATAAATGCATCAGAACTTTTGTTTTCTCCTTTATTACGTACTAACTTAACAATAAATAAACATCTTCTATATTTCACTGGTTTGTTAATAGTCTTCTCTATGCTTTTCCTGCCACAGGGTCTTCCTTCTCAGGTAGTACATGATTTTGAAAATAGTGTTGTATCCAAGTCAAACAGTCATGTGGTGAATTCCATAAAACAGGACAATATATTTCTGCCCACAATACCACAGGAAACATTACAGATATTGTGGTGTCGAATCAAATCAAATTTCAGAGAGAAGATCTCAGTTTTACTGAAAACTATATGATGATGAATAGGATTAAAAGAACAACATTATGGTAATTTTATTCTAAATCCTCAGTACATACTATGAAGCAATTTTCTCTGTCCTTGATGTTAAAATTTGTGCATTTACTTGTAAAAAAGGGCATTAACATGAACACCGATTTCTCTTCAGAAGAATTTGAAAGGGAAATTGTTATATCTTTACAAAGTATTCCAGTGATTTATCTATCATATAGAATCAAATAAATTAGCTTTTGAACCAGTATTTAGTTATATACATTTCTAATATGTATAGCAATGCAATATATATATTAGCAACTTTCTTAGGTACTTACAGAAATTTCCAAGGATGACGGTGGCATCTTTCGTACAGTGACTTTTGTACTATGTAAGTTCTCTATACACCACTGAGCATATCTAGCAATGCTAGGGTCCCCTCGATAGTTATTTCTTAGGAAGCAATAGAAATACTGCGAAACAAAAGTCAATTATAAAAGTTCAGTAAAGAAATTTACTACAGAAAGTTTTATTCATACCAGAAAAACAAAAGTAGTACAGCAAATTTTTGGTTTATTGTTAACTAAGGATGTAATAATTGTGTCAGCCACAATAACTATTAAAATATAACAAAATTACATTATTCAAGTGTCAATTAGCATGTCTTAAAGGGTTAACAACCTGACAGGCCAAACTAGAAAAATTCATAGTATCTTTAAAGAAATCAGTAAAGCATACACAACAATCAGTTTTCATTCTTATTACATTTACACACAATAACCTTGATTGGCTAAAAGTAACATAATTCTTACTTTAGCAAATGTCTTGCTGGGATAGAAGGCAACTACACAAAGACACATGAGAATCCAAGCTCGAAAGGTGGCTTCCCTGCTAGGATTATTAGTTGACTGACGGACTAGTTGGGCTAGAATTTCATCCCTTAGTTCTTCCCGATCAATTCCATAGCCTATAATACTTTGTATAACTTGTATCTCACCTTCTGGCTTTAGATCTCCTCGTAAGTATTTATTCAAATCCTGACAAAAAATATTAATTATTATAGATTCATTTAGAAATAAGTCAGGTAAAAGTTAACATTAGAAGTAGTTTAATTGCTAGTTTTAACTAATGCAAGTTTGCTTTTGTACCACTTTTGAAGATTGCCTAATTTAATATGAATAAAGGAGTAAGAAAAGCTAAAACCAAAATAACCTATTTTCATACAAAACAAATAAAACCAATAAATACTTGTATAAAGAAGTTAATAGAAAAAAATCAGTTCTGAGTAAATATTTTTTGAATTCTCTACAAACCACATTTCTTCTATTCTTCTTTGGTCACCTAGATATTTTTCAGTATTTTTCCACTAATATTTTGAATATACTTTCTGTAAATAATTGTTGCTTCTCTAAAATGTTTTCTTCATTTTACATTACTTTCAGAGACAGACCTGGTGACATATGATATGTAAAATGCATCACCCTGTACCAATGCTTAAAGCTGAGAAAATTGTGGCTGTAGTGAGTAAATTCTCTGAGATACTTGTATATATATACACGTGCATGAAAGTAATTTCATTAAAACTATCATGAAAATTAGTTACAGAAGTACATATGTACACACATAGTAAGTAACAACAGATAATCAAAATTTCATACACTAAGAGTGATGGTAATTTTTCTATAACTGAACATAAAAAACTGATATTATACAAATAATAAACTATATGCAAACCACAAAAATGACTAGTAACAGACAATAATTTTAAATAGATTTAAATTAATATTTTTTATATCATACGATTCAAAGTTTTGTCAATGATATCACTTGAAATAACCTTATTTGTTAATTTTAAAGTTAACATTTTCCTTACCTGAAAAAGTATTTCAGATAGTTATTCACCTCCTCATACAGAATAGCTTTCTTTCTTATGATTCTGCCAGAGATTTGAAAGCTACCAGCCTTGTGAAAACTCCCACCTAATCTTACATGAAACCACAAGAATTTGTGCCACTGCATTATGACATCATTATGCAGCAGAACCCTCCTCTAATAGGAGTGCAACACACCTCCATGAACAATTATTCCCGCTACAATTCACAATAGTGAATCTTCATTCTTTGATGAGGCAATGAAGAAATGTGCAATGGAAAATATTAACTTCTGAAATAAATACTCACCTTCTCACACAGAATAGCTAGAATGGCACGTTGAGATGGTGGAGGAACTGGTGCATAGATTACCTAGATGAGCTACCTTCAGGAACCATCCATAGAATGTCCATGGGGTGTGATACCAGATAGTATGTGATCCATAGGGGTACACCCATGGGATACCACATCTTGTTTCATCCAGGGTATACTCTTCACCCATGTAGGAAGAGGCAAAATAGCCATAACTGTGTTACAAGGATATGTGGAATATGCACGTGGCTGTCCACATATTTGCATGAGTTGTCAATATGTGTAGTGAGATTGCAGCTTGTTAAGACTGTACCTTATGTGCTCACCTCCTCTACCATCAAATTGATGGGTCGAAACCAGCTGTGGGAGAAGGACACTTGTGATAAGTATTCGTGCTCACCTCTTCTACCATCAAACTTGATGGGTTGAAACCAGCTGTGGGAGAAGGACACTTGTGATAAGTATTTGTGCTCACTTCCTCTACTCTCTCTCTCTATGGGTCCAATGACAGCTATGGGAGGAGTGTATGGAATAGAATAATGTCTGTATGGATACTTATATAAATCTCCACTCAACCATTAATCACTGCAGGCCCCTTGCATGTTGTGGGAGTAGGGTATGTGAGTGATACATCACTGGTGTACAGGGTATAATCAGCTCCACTTTACTGTCAGTCTCTATGGGCTCCATGCCAGCTGCAGGAGAAGGGTACCATATTATATACACCTCCATTCAACTGTCAGTCTCTACAGCACACACCAGCTGCAGGAGTGGGGTTGTTTTTTTTTTTCTTTATGATATGGTGTGGGATGGACCTGTATTAAAGTATTTACCTTGATTCTACTGAAGAGACTTCAACAGCAGGTGGAGGATTTGCAAAATCAAGATATATAAAGGAACAGTATATTGAGTTGTATCATTGGTCCATTTGAAGATTGTAATGTATCATAGTTATGTATATATGTGTGGGGTGACCCATACTACACTCCAGTGTCAGCCCAGCCACACTTTGCACCATACAGGGACTCCTTGTTTTAGCTTCAACAGTTAGATCCCAATCGATGAGAATTCTCCAAGATTCTCCACCCCAGTAGCTGAGAACTGGTAAGGGTAAGGATCTCCTGTTCTACAGTTGATGAGGGGGAGAGAATTCACGTAGAAGAGACACAGAGAATCTGCCCAGATCCCCTTCAATACTTCAGTCTAGAAATGTCTTGTACTGGAGACGGTGCAATGGGTGACTGCGTAAGCCTATTTTTAAAAGCTGTCAAGCACTAGCCATATAAGTGGGCAGAAACAATGCTCTTATACTGGTTTATTTTAGGATAGTTCATGGAATGGGTATGATCTGGATCACACAAAAAATGTAATACACATACATACATACATATATATATATATATATAGAAGAGAGAGAGAGAGAGAGATACCATGAGAAAACCTCAAGTTGTCTTCCAGAACACCCAATCTCATATTGGGCACCAGTAGAGCCAGGTCAGATGGTATGAATGCTTTGCATTATCCTGATTCGATGCAGATTTTGGGTAAATGATGGTGAAAATGAACAGCTAGAATGTGTAAGGTGTCGAGTATGACTAAATGAGACACGAAAGAACTGATGATTATCCACCCCAAAAGAAGCTTATACCATATATATAGGATTTGGAAGATCTATCCTGTAAAGGTGGTAAGAGAGAGATCTCTAGTAGAAGAGTGGTCCCAAGGAATGAAAAGACAGTGAAGGGAACCCTGAAAGGAGGAAGTGCATGATAAATAACAACAAAATAATTTGGACAGGACACAGATGTCTGTGTCCACAAATGATCACTGAGATTGGATATTGAAGGAAAAGATAAGGGAAAAAAGGTGTGTCTGTCTTCTTTAGCTGCAGAAGTCTTGGAAAGGAAATACTGGTGGGAGTAAAGGAAAAGAAAGGTGTGGTGGAAAAGAGTTTGAGAGGAATCTATGGTACAGGCATTAGTAGGAAAGTGACCACAGGCAAGAAGGAGAAGGAAATATATCTTTAAAGATAGATGATATATAAAACAAGTTGTAAGAGGTTCTATTGGGTCCTGGGTAAGAGCTTGGAGAACTGCATTCAGGTTACAGTCAGGTACAGGAATAGAATGGGGGAAGTCCTGTGGTTAAGGAATGAACAGATAAGGGTAGAAAAGACAGGTGAAGAAAATATTCAGCAATATTTGGAAAGGTGAAAGGTGGTAGATAACATTATCCGATAACCCATGGTGGTAGAAACAGACAAGCTATGTAAAAGAGAAGGAAAGATATTTGAAAGTAAGTCAGTCAGGGGGGAGATGATGAAGGACAGATCCATGGTGATAAGAAAGCCATTTACATTGGTACACAGAAAGTGGAAGGGCAACAAGAGTGGGAAGATAAAGACTGGCTGAATCTCACACATGAAGATGAAGGGATATCACTCCTCGATGAAAGAGTGATGTCTGATGTTGAATTAGAAGGGATGGAATGATGGGAAGGTGGGCTTGGACAAAAGAAGATGGAGTAACAGAAGACTTGTGGGTGGAAGGATCATTCCGTGAGCAGGATGAGCTCTTGTCAAAAAAGACAGTCTGCAACGATGTTCAGTGCACCATGAACATGACGAGCTATTAGACTCATCTGACTTGGATGGGCTTAATGAAGGAGGTCCAATGTCTGAAAGCAGAGGATCCTGGAGTGGGTGCACCCTTGGCAGTTGATATGCGACCCAACCATGAAATTGTCCGATTGTATCATTACTAAGAGATCCATAGGCAGGGGAAAGAAATGAAAGCATGCCCAATGGACAGCAAGAAGTTTGAGGGCAGTGATTTGTAGTGAATGCTCCTCCAGGAACCAAGAGCCCAAAATCATGTTAATATTCAGAGATGCTCCCCATCCTGTGAGAAATGGTGAAGGTCGAGTTTGGGAGGAGGTACAGGAATGCCAGAAGTGGTGTTGGAGTGGTCTAGCCACCAAGCAACATCCTCCAGAAAAAGAGGAGGGAAGTGGAGGTGAGAATAATGGATCCATTGGGCAAGCAATGCTCACTGTGTGGAATGCACGTGTGCATGACCAAGTGCAATGAGAGGCTCCATAGAAGCCATAGTCCCCAAAAGAGATAGAACCTCTTCTGCAGAATATGAATGTGAGGTGCAAATCTTGGTGATGAAATGCTTGAGGTCTTTTAGGTGAATGGGAGAAGTGCAGGCAATATAACAAAGAAGAGTATCAATCGGACATAGAAGTCTAACTGTATAGGAGTGAGGGTAGAGATGAGAAATAGGTAAAAAGGAAATGTTACCCTCCCTAGCCGCTAAGGTCTTTGGGAGGAAATAATGATCCAGATAAAGGAGAAGATAGGTAAGATGGTAAAGAGTACATGAAACATCAATGGCAAACAAATCAGACCAAACATCCACAGGCTAAGAGGAGAAGGAAATACGTTTTAAGGGAAAGGTGAAACATGAAACATGAGGAAAGTGATTCAAAGTGGTAAACTGAAGGAATGGAGGACCACATTAATATCCCAGTTTGGAAGAGCAGGCCATCTGGAGGGACAACGAATCCGTTAAGGAATGCATTAACATGGTAAGGACAGGGGAAGCAAAAACTCAATAATATTGGGAAAAATGAAAGGTATGGGATAAGAAAATTTTATAACCCAAGAACGAGGAAACCAAAGATCCCCGGTAGAAAAGCCATGTGAGAAACTCCACCAAACAAGCCACAGTAGATCAGTCAGCAAGAAATCCCCAAGTCACAGACCAACTGCGGAACATTTTCCATTTGTGCTGATACACCTCCATTGAAGAAGAATGTACGGAATGAGCTACAAGGAAAGCTATTTGACGAAATAAACCTGATCTCCTCACCAAGGACTGGATAAAGCCAGGCGTGAAGACAAAGGACGTGAATGGCTGGATGTAGAACCAGTGACCAAGGTTGAAGAATAAGGGAGGGAGACAAAGGAAGAGGTACTGGATGGAAAAGATGCAGTTGTTGTAATCGTGGAAACCACAGACAAGCTGGCCAATAAAGAGGGATTAGAAGGACTGGACATGGAGTGGTATGGATGAAAGAGAGATCACCCAATAAAGTAATCTGATAGGAGGATAAACATAAAGAAATTTGTGGGACCAATCCTGGTTGAAAGCATCAACAGCCAGAGCCAAGGGATGAGGTATCAGGGATCAAAAGAGGGGTAACTTGTGACTGAGGTATGTGGCAAATGCATCTACATGGGGAAAAACCCACCAATTGCAAAGCCACTGGAAAACAAGGGAATCTAAACACCACTCCACCGGATGTATTTGGTCGGGGCACTAGAAGATTGAAAGCACTCAGAATGTGATATGCTATGAGATGAATGTGGTATGTGTGTGGGCCCAATATAATAAATCCAACATTTGAAAACAGAGAGATCTCGACTGGGTGCCCTCTTGGTGATTGATATGTGCTACCACCATAGACTTGTCAGAAGGAATCATCACTAGACAATGTCTGGTGAGAGGAAGCAAGTGATTCAAAGCCCGACAGACCACAAGAAGCTTGAGGACATTGATATGCAAAGATCTTTCGTCTATAGACCAAAGACCCAAAGCCTCTAGGTGACTGACCCATGCACCCCAGCCCTGAAGGGATGCATCCATGAAAAGATGTACATCCAGACAAGGAGGAGGAAGTGGGACACCTGCCAATGTATGGGACTTGTCCAACCACCAATGCAGATCATCCATAAGGGTAGGAGGAAGGGTAACAGGAGCTGACAAGGGATCCTGAGCAAAGTTCCATTGATTGTGCAAAGCTCACTGAAGGAACCGCATATGCACACGACTGAGGGGGAACAGTGATGTATGTCATTGAAGACCATATTCCCAAAAGTGATAGAACCTCACAAGCAGAAAGTGAAGGAGCTGAAAGGGCATGGCGAACTAACAGCAGTTCCATGTAACGAAGTCGTAAATGAGAAGGTTGGGCTCAACTGAGATGAGTGTCGAAAAAACACCCAAGTGGATGAGATATTGGGTAAGTAAGAGGAAGGACTTCTCTAGTTTGATTAACCAGCCCGCCCAAGCAGCCACTAGAAGGAGTTGACAAATATGGCTAGCCAGTTGTCCATATAATGGTGGAATTCCAATCCCAGAGCATGAAAATGGCGGACAAAAGCTCTGACCACCCAACAGAAAACATAAGGTACAGAAACAAGCCCAAAGGGTAGGGCGTGAAATTGATAAACCACCCCGTGTTGGATGAACCAAAGATACGGATGAGACTGTGATGATAAAGTGATGTGGAGATAAGTATTGGTGACATCCATCTTGGTCATCAATAAAAGCCTGGAGAAAATGCCCACTGTAGGGGAGAAATGACTTTTATGGCAAAACAGGATAGTTGAACGAAGTTGATGTGGGACAAATCAATGATTTGATTCCAATAGGGGGAACAGAAGGCTTGTGGCATGTATAAAGAAAAAATTTGCATATAGAGGGCAGCACTAGGCGATAATAGCTAATCTTTTGAGTAGAGGAACGTACCATATCAGAAACTTATACATATATAAAACTTTAGTGTTTATGATCAGATCTAACTTGTATTGACTGCCATCCTTCCCAAAATAATTATATTAACATTTATACTTCAGTTATTACCACATATCGGCACATAATGTATACATTTTTGTTTAAATTAACACTGAGAAAAAAAAAATCATAAAATAATAATAATGATCTGACTTGTTGCTTTGGTTATAATTTAGAGCCATAAATTATGGTCTTTATTAGTTCAAAGAAATGTGTTGGTTGAGAAAGTATTAAAACTATGGATTATCTTTATAGCTATCATTTCGAGCAAGAGCCAGATGTTCATTTAGCACATCACTTATGAGAGAGAAAAACATCTTACCTTAAATATGGAACAAGCAATAGCAATGTTTTCTGGGTCATGTATTTGAACATGAGAGGTTGGGATGCTAGTACTGCGTGTATATGTCACCATTTCATACTTTGGTATTATATCCCCAGTTGACTTTCGTCGCCAACTAAGAGTCCTCATCATAGTTCCACCAACATCTCGCTCATGGAAGTTAAAAAACTTTTCTGCAAACTCAATCATATCAAAATGATACATGCCAGTCTGATCATCTTCTGCTTCTATTTCATTTAGCCTTTTCTCAACACGTTGTTTTCTCCTGATATCAATTATTACAAAATTGAATTAGGTAGATACATATATATATATATATTAACACAATGCAAAAATAATAAAAATTTCAACAGAATTTTATAATTTATACACTTGCTTACTGTCCCTAATAACATTCATTATACAGGTACAACATCGCAATTTTTACTATCATTTAATTTTAAAATTAACAAAATCTACAATGAGGCTGTTTTTAGGACTTGTTATTAATAAGATGCCTGTAGACTTACAAGTTTTTTATTTATCGATTTCTATTTAATCATCCTATATAAATATATATATATATTAAAATAGGCAAACTGTTTTACATTTCTGACAGAGTGAAATGACTTAAAAGTTTGTAAATAATAACCAACTTCACAGTTTTTCACAGGTAACCTTACACACCACAACTTCCATATTAAAACCACATAATAGAAAAAAACATGATATAATAGGTTATAATAGCCCATGAAATCATGTCTAGAATTTGTTTATTCTAGAAACGTAGATTTTAATAATTTATTATACATGCTTTGATATAATATAAATTTCATAATTTCATAAACTTCATAAAATTTTAAAGGGACAAAAAGTTTGAAAAGTAATACTGTGTAAATCGCAGACAACTCCTACACTGCAAAATTTGAATTTATGACCCCTTGTCCTATTGTTTTCACTGCTAAACACAAAAAATTGATGGATCTATATTATCAATAATCTTAAACACTTCAATAAAATCCCCTCTGACTCTTCTCCTCTCTAGAGAAAACAAGTTCAGAGATTTTAGACTCTCTGCACAGGACAACCTCACCATCTCAGATATCATCCTAGTGGCTCTTTTCTGAATCTTCTTCAACAATTCAATGTCATTCTTGAGGAAGGAGCCGCAAACTGTACACAGTACTCTAAGTGAGGCCTTACAAGTGATCTATAGAGTGAAACAATAATATCCCTTGTCTTGTATTCAATATTTCTATAGATGCTACCCAAAATCTTATTAGTATGAAAGTACGTTATCCTGCTGGAGATATGCAGTAGCCACACAGTTTTGTCACATGATCTATACAACATATAATTGCTAAAAAACTTGGGATTTTCCCTGGTATGCATTATATATGTTGACAAGGCAAATATCCTGTGCACGGATACAGGAACAGGAAGCTAGTATATGCTGTAGATTCTATGGCACAATTCACACATATAAACGGATATCATATTGTAAGTCTTACATCACAATGCAGCAAAAGTGTTAAAAATGTTGTTTGCATAAACATACACTACCAAAGTAAAACAAACTCTATTAACATTGGGTGTAAACAAACTCCACGGACATTACTGCCCAAACATAAAGCCACTATGCAAAACAAACCCCAATAATATTACTATCCACACATAGATACACTGATTAAAACAAGCTCTGTTAATACTGCCACCCAAACAAAAAGATATTGAGTAAAACAAATTTCATTAATACTTCTGTCAACACATGCAGACACAACTAAGGTAACACAAACTCATTTCACTAACACTGACATAAACAAACCCTATTAAAATTGATGCTCATAAATGACTTAAACTCAGATTGATACACTACTCAGTATTACTAAAAGGTAAATAAACTTGTACCTGATCTCTCTCTCCTGACCTTCTGCTTCTGTGACATGAATGGAATGTTTATTCCCACTAGGTTTCTGTTGACTTTTCATGCCATATACCCATGATTCCTGAAATAATAAAAATGCTGAAATATTTGCCTTAGAAACCTACCTCAATTACTTATGAATGTATGAACTACAAAACATTACACCAAAATAAAGTGCATAAAGTATATGGCTATCTGTGAATTCAGACTACTGTGAGCTTGCTGATGCAGTTATCATGGCTTAACAATCAAGACATTTTTTTACATATGTTAGAATTTAACAAAAAATTTCACTATTTTCTCTACTATCTTCTCAATATAAAACATTTATTTAATAATAGCTTTATTTTACTGGAAGAGACTGACATCTAGCTGTTTTGGGACATTTAACAGGAGGAACCAAGGAACTTTAAAAAATAAATAATAAGAGATAACTATTTTGGCAACTTGTAAAATCAATAAAATGGTAAGGATACTTGTAGACTCATTCCATGCAAACAATAAGAACTAAGTAAAAGTCACAATATAGTAATAAGTATCAAGTTAGGAAAAAAAGGAGAGACTTTATTTTAAATTAAATTTAATGAGTAATTGTTATTGTTGTATGAGTTAGAACTCGGAGCTTTCTAGTACTGCTAGATAATAGATATCAATTTAGAGAAGCAAAACAAGTTGCTTTCTAAGAAACAATTCTCTCAGTAAGGGACTGGCATGGCCAGGTGGTTAGGGTGCTTGACTCGCAATCTGCAGGTTCGAATCCCTGTCCCACCAAACACACTCGCCCTTTCAGCTGTGGGGGCATTATAATGCGATGGTCAATCCCACTATTCATTGGTAAAAGAGTCGCCCAAGAGTTGGCAGTGGATGGTGATGACTAACTGCCTTCCCTCTAGTCCTCCACTGCTAAATTAGGGATGGCTAGCGCAGATAGCCCACGTCTAGCTTTGCACGAAATTCATAACAAATCAAACCAAACTTCTCAGTAAGTTTTAAAGAGAGAAAAGTAACTATCCTACTTTTCAAAGCAACTTTGTAGCTAATATTCCTGAACAAATTCTGAGACCCAGTTGTCAAATTAAAAAGTCCAGTCAAACTTCATTCAAAATAGAAACTAACATAATTAAAGAAAATGCAGGTTATTTTTTTTACTGTTGTTAACCAATCAGTAATTCAATTCCTCAAGCATTATTATACAAGCAAATGGTATTTAATCTAGTCTATAAACATACACAAATGTAATTTTTTTAACTACTTCTCTCATTAATTCTTTAGTGTATGTACCTCACAGTCATGGTAAGATAGACAGCACATACTCTGCATAACTGCAAATTATCACTTTTTTGTTTTTGCTAGTAACAGCACTTCATTAAATCTTACAGATCAATGCATAATTACATTAATTTGAATACTGTAATTGGAAGCATAAATTAATAAATTAATATTGAAAACTATTGGAATACATTCTATGAAATATTAATTATTTGTCTTCTAGGTGTGGATTGGTTAGTCTGTCTTCAAAATGATGCAATTTTAGACAATATTTTTCTATAACAACAACTTAAATTGTATATTCTATCCAAACATAGCTACTGTAGATGTTCGGTTTTGATATCTAGTTCTTTAACTCACCTCTAATAACTTAAAATACTTTAGATTATTAGTAGTGAGTAAAGGACTATACATCAGAATCAAACAAACTGTTGCATTTCACCACTATGTGATGCCTATTTTGTTTACTTTTTTCACTCTCCTATGCAGCACTAATCAGTTGTGAATTCAATGAAACTAATTTGCTGTAGTGGAAGTAGCAAGTCAAAGAAAAGGTTAGGCCCCTAAATCATCTTTTCTTCACTAAAATTCATGTTTTGGTAAGGAGAAGAAATTCAGTAATAAATACTTTTGATATTATTAAGAATGATGTAATTTGTTGGATAAGATTAGTTATATATTCATAAAAATTGACAGTCTTGCTTATTCAAAATGTTGTAATAATCACTGATTTTTTTAAACCTCATTTAATAAAGAATAACTTACTACAGCTGGCCTTGCTATAGACCAGTCTTCTTGATTTTCAGTAGGCAGTTCTGATGAAAGAGAAGGAGAAAGCTCTCTTTTTATGTCACTGGTTGATTCTGGAGAGACCAGATGTTTGGACACTTCCATATTACTACCAGTTTTGTCACAAGGAGAAATTGGTGATAATAAAGAGGACTGGGGAAACGTTTTTGTCAAGGTAGTGATGTTAACATAAAGTGCTGGTTCTGACGACTGACAAGTAGGTATGTCTAAGACAGGTGGAGGTGGTGGACTTGAACGAGGGGACTTCTCAGGGGATAGAACAAGTTTTGTTTGTTCCAAATTAGTTGAATGCTGAAAAAGACATTTACAAATATAAGAAAAAGTTATTGATTAATATAGTTTAAACACACAGAATCTTGTTTTTCCATGTCATTATGTAAGCCACTGATCTGTCCTAGATTAAAACTCAAACATAAGAATGGGTTTGTAGAGGATTGTACTTGCTTAATGACAGCCAATGAAACCCTCAAAAGAAAAATAATTAATCAATTTGGCTTGAATGTTACAGGATGAAAATATATTCCAAAAAACATTAAAACAATACACTGTAATCTATGTTTTAAAATTGTAATTAACATCTAATTAACTAAGCCTGTCCAATTATTATTTGGGTATTAATAATTACCATATTTTTTAAAAGTTTTGCTATTTTATTTGTAACTGAAGAATACTAAGCAGGTTGGATATGTTATATAAGCAACAACAAGCTCATACTCCTAAGCTCTAAATTTTGAATACAGTATTTCATTCCTTTCTTAATGCTTATGCTTCTATAAAGTAACTGATATTGGAAACTGGCTACTTATATTTTGGCAAATTAATTTTTCAATTTTTTTCTTTAAATACTTATTCATTGAAATAATCAAATTCTTCTCTGAAGAACTCCCCCTTCACTAAGTATAGTGGCTCAAACTTAATGATTGAAGGTGCTTGGCCAATCGAGTTCTTTATTGATTTAGTAAGTTAAGCCCAGGCAATAGGCAAAATATTAACCTGTGTCAGAATTTAAAAATCTGATCTTCACCAATTGTCAAAATAAAAAGGCTTTTACTTATACTTCTTAATAGTATAAATATATACTTTGTCGTTTTTGGGCTTAGGATTCTTCTACAGTTGGTGTTTGCGACTTGTTAGCAATAAATTCAATGATGAATAAACAGCACGCACTTCACTTGTTTTCAAATGATATATATATTTGGAACAAGTTAAACATATGTACAACAGTCTTCACATTATAGCGATTATAGGCATATCATAAACACTACATATATAGTTCTCTTCTTCTTGTCAATAGTCCACTTAGGCCTATTAAATTAATTTAGAATTTCAGTTGACAGTTTATCAAATAATATATATATATATACGGAACAAGTTTAACATATGTACAACAAAGTATTCACACTATAATGATTACAGGCATATAATAAACACTATATATATAGTTATCTTCTTCTTCTTGTCAAAAGTCTACTTAGGCTATTCAATTACTTCATAATTTCAGTTCACAAGCCAAACTATCTTTTCTATTACTATCGCACGTGTATTCTCTGTGTGATTCACTTACAGTTGTGGCATGAATTACCGTAATCATTTGGTCTTCTTTCTTCTGAAGATGCTCTGTTCCTTTTGTCAGAGTGCACTCAGGCTGATTCAATTACTTTAGAATTTCACTTTGACGGAATAAATTATTTTTCTTATCTTCTTTTCTACTGTTAGTCTTACTCTAACTTATTAAATGTTAGGCCTATGTCAATCGTTAGGCCTATCACTTCTATGGTAGTTATCTTTTCCTTTCATAATTTTACTTTCTTCTGCTATTATCTGTTTGCTGCTTCTTGCTCATCTCACGCTATTTATATCTTTATCACCTAATTGTCTGTCCACCTTCTATATTCTCGACGTCAATGTATTGTACGTGACATTCAATAGTCTCAACATCAATGAATTATTAACAAAACCTCCTACAATTATCTAATAAACAATAATAAAATATTCTCTCACAAAAACAAATTAATCAATAATATCTAAAATATACAGTATTTTATATCATGACAACCTATTAAGCCTAATGCACATTGAAATTTGTTTCTGTATAGTATTATTATATTATTTAAATGGACCAGCTCCAAATAAGTGAACTGCATAAAATATATGAAACTGATTGCAAAATATCCAATATATACATCCTAATGAGATACAGCTTAGAACAAGCAAAGACCATTTTTGGTAAGAACTAATTTTGATGGTCTTTAGCTGGTGAAATAAACACTGGTCCTTAATCTTAAAAAAACAAAACATATGTGATTTGTTGGTATTTTCTAAGCCAAAATTAACTAATTTTAAAACTGGCTGCATATGTCAAATGTTTTAAAATATATTTGTTACATTTTGGCATAAACTAAAAGAAGTACATATATCTTACCAAGTATTTTGTAAATTTCTTCTAGAAGATTTAAAAACATATTTTCATAAGCATTTTTGACTAATTTTGATAAGAGAAATTTATGGGAATAAATATTTTTGCATATTTTAATTTGAATTGACTTATAGAAAATTAAGATTTGGAAATAATATACTGTTTCTTTCTAAAAAATTAAAACTGAATTAATGGGGTATAGGAAAACATCATGAGATGCTTCAATTTGATAAACTCTTCTGGGGTCACTGACCATTAGTGGTAAGTGGTACCATTAGTGGTACTGGAGAAGGGTGAAAACTGAAAATACTCTTTAATTATTGAATGATTTCAGCAGGATTGTGCTTGTGGCAATAAGTTGTTTACTATAGTACACTAAGATATCTGTACAATCATGTCACCTCATTCAGATCTTTGAGTAAAGCATCTGTTTGTTCTTCTGTTTCAATTATGACATCCTCCATATTGGCATGGCTTTCCTGAACATCACTAAGAAATGAAAACATCTCATCAAGGTCCAAACATTCTGAAGTTTCTTGAGCACGTCGAACATTTTTTTCCACCAAACTAGTAATAGTTGCAAGTTCTTGTGTAGCCCTGTGTGAAATTAAAATTTGTTTATTGACAATTTTTGAAATATTACCTTGTATTTTTCTTTACTGAATTGAAAGTTTAACTTTAACATAATTTTATCAAATAAAACCTAGAAATGATTTAACATATTTAAACTTGTTCCAAAAAATATAATGACTAAAATTTATATACCAAAATGTTATATTACTTATTTTTCCTAATAAATATAATACATAATTGTGTAATTTGTAAAAAACTCCAATATAAAACTAGTTTTATATAAATTATTTGTTGATGGATTAGTTAGTTTGTTTGTTATTAATCTGTACTGTGCAGCAAACCCCTAATCTTAGCATTATAAGCTATCAAGGGGCTCACTGGTTAGGCTTTAAAACTAATTTCACTTTACAAAAAATAACATAAAATAAAAATACTTAAATCAAAAGTGAAATGTTCATACTGTGATTACTGTTCTGTTTGAATAAAATACTGTTAAAAACAAGCAACAATATCTTATGATTTTACCAAAGGAATTGTCTTTTCCATCAACAATTTGATCAATACATCAAAAATGTGTTGTTAAAATCACATGCACTAGAAGACAAGTTAACATGAAAAAATGAAAACTTCAATATTAGCCAGTATCATTCTAACAACTAGGCCAAATGGGATACTAAATTTAAATATATTCATATAAGTGTCTTTTTAGACAAACATTTACCTGTTCAAATTTTATGCATAAATATTTTTGGACATCTTTTATTATGAAAAGGTTTTGTTTGCTATCTATGCTAGCCATCCCTAATTTAGCAGTGAAAGACTAGAGGGAAGGGAGCTAGTCATCACCACCCATTGCCAACTCTTGGGCTACTCTTTTACCAACGAATAGTGGGATTGACCATTATAACGCACCCACGGCTGAAAGGGCGAGCATGTTTAGTGGGACGGGGATTCAAACCCTCAGATTGTGAGTCAAGCACCCCAACCACCTGAAAATATGTTTAAGCTCTAACACTTTGAGTTATTAGATTAAGTGTGTTGTTTCTGTTCACTTTTTTTCTTCTCATTTTCAGATTTAACAAAAAAAAAAACAAACTACAAGCTTACCTCAAGCAGTAAATTTGATAACCTCACCAGCTAAGGTGTGAAACAGTGTAAAATTTATTGTTGAAACAGCTAATATTAGGTGGAATACTAGAGAACTACTTACTGAGAAACATTATAGGTCATCATACATGTTTGATCAAAATTTACATCAATACAATTTCTCATTCAAATGCATTAAGGACTCTACTTAGCAATATATTCTTATATAACTTTAGTTGAGGAATGGCAAGGCTTGATACAAACTGAAACTGTAAAACTCAATTATGTCTTATAGTTTAGCTAAAGTTCCAAGATAAAATTGGATTATTTGCTTGTATGACTGGAATATGGTCAGTTCTAATCACTCTTGTAAAAAAAAAAGAAAGGTAAGAAGATAAATAACCATACACTGATCAAAAATCATACTTAAATTAAGCTAAAATAAACAACTTACCCTTGTTCTTTAGCCATTTGCAAACTGTTAAAAATGGAAAAGTGATATGAACCACAAAAGTAACCAAGATGTTAATACACTTTCAACAATCTGTTTTTACAGCAGTTTGAGAAATTAAGCTATCCAGTAAAACTTTACACATAGTAATCAGATAGGAATGTTTTTTTTAATCCAAAAATATACTCTTAAACTAAACTTGTACTTCTAATACAAAAATTTGTACTGAGTAAAACATTACCTCCACTGACATTCACAAAAAGAAGATCTAGGTAAAATGAAAATCACATCAAATAAATACAACCTCAGCCTAATAACTATTCCTAATATAGGAATATATACTGAGTAAAACATGAATACCATCAATGCATGCTACTAACTAGATAGTAACAAACTATCTTAATAAAAGCAAAATATTCAACAAAAATCACTGCTAAATTCCTATAGATCTAAAGCACCAAAACGACTGTTTAAAGTGTCATAATGAAAAACAATTTTGCCCAGAAATGACTTCTTGTAGTAAATTTCATTGTATTAGTATCTTAAGTCGAATGGGTGATAAAAGACATGCATTTTATCATGAATATAAAGAGGATATCAAAATTAAAAGCACTAGTCACGAGACTGGCACATTCATTAATAAAATCTGGTGTGAATTCATAATTGCTAAATATATTTAGTAAGAGAAATGCATTTAGAAAAGCTTATAACTACTACTTGCTGCAACCACTATGTTTATCAATATATGGTTAATCTATAAATAAACCTAAGCAATCAAAATGATACAGTTTAATATATCAGGAACAACAAACTGTCAACTATTTAAACAAAATTTGTAAACTAGGAAGAGACTTATTTACAAATATATTTAGCTATTCTCAGGTTAATACCACTTTGTACATCAACACAGTTCATTCCACCCAAATACTATATACATTCATAGAATTAAGATAACTTAAAAGTGTGTAATAATGTTTTTTTTAAATCACTAAATTGTACTAAATTTTTAAAATCATCACCAAATTACCCATCTTATTGAAAATCTACAATTCTTTACCTTGAAGTTCCATCTGTAGCTTTTAGTTCTAGCTTTTCTTGTTCTTTTTGCTCAGCTTCCAACTCTCTCTGTTCTTCTTCTAACCTGCGTTTCTTTTCTTCTTCCTGCTCTTTCTTTCTCATCTCTGCTTCAACTCGACGCATCTCACGCAGAGCCGCTGCAACTTCTCTAGCAAACATACCTCGTACAAAAGCCTTAAAAATTATAAAATAAACATTTTTAAGCTGAAAACATTTCATTCTAGACGTTTAACTAAAGTATGTTAGCATATCTGTTTGATTTTCAGATTTTGTGTAAAGCTCCACAGGAGCTAACTGTACTAGTCTTCCCTAATTTTGAAAAGATAGACTAAAAGGAAGGCAGCTATTCAACACCATGCATTGACAACTCTTGAGCTATTCCTGTCAGACTAAATAGTGGAATTTGATTGTCACTCTTATAATGACCTCAAAGTGTGGAACACAATTTTATTATTGTAGTAATAGGACAAGAACCACAGAATGTCAGCTCTACAGTCTGTCACACTAATCACTGAGCCATGACTGACCCACCTTAGCATGTATAAAATTTACATTTTCTTTTGAATGTATGATACTGAATAGCATTTTTATAGGAAATGTTTTCTAACACTTATGTCTTTTTTTTAAATAAAGGTTAATGTAAGTTTAATACAAATTATCTAAAAGGCTGAATTAAGGAGCTCTGACATCAAACTTCTATCGGAAAATTCCAAATGCTTTCCACTTAAATAAAAAATACACAATATTTTATTCAAAACATCTATTTACACAGGTTATTACATATTACTGAAAACACCACTAAGCCAAAGGGTACCAAATTGATGACTATATGTTAACTTGATCACAATTTTTCTAATAATTTAAGGTCTAGTTATATATGATTAACATAAATGCCTTATTATAGACTTAAATCCAACTGGTCATACAGTATGTTGCTATAATGTTAAATCTACATTTAACAAAAACCATAAAAACAGCTAGGACAAAACTTATTCATAAATTGATTTTTGAAATAGAAAATAGTGCTACTTCATGTATATACATATATAAAATGTATAATAATTTAAATGTGACTGTATTTATAAAAATACTAGTCCACTAAAACAGCCAAGACAGGTCACTTTGTAAAGGCCAGTTGTATATTATTATTGACAGACCCCATAAAGATAGGGTAGAGAAAATAACAGAAAAAATATAAAGTTTTATCAAAAACAAACATTTGAAATGTATTTAGGAGGTTTTAAAAATTACACAAATAATATTTGAGATTTTTGGGACGAACAATAATTTTTTAGTTATGATTATAACTTCGCTCTTAGACTGGTAACAAAACAAACTCGATATTTTCAGAAACAAATCTATAATAAAAAAGACTTCATTAAAAAATCTGATTTTTTGTGTACGAAAGACTTGTAATCTTTACTGAAAGGCTACCAAATTTTATGAAGATACATTTATTGCATTAAAAGTTATAGTATAAATACTTAACTTGTGTGTATTATATGAAGCCTTAGTAGGTTTGCAAAATATATTGATATTTCAGCAAATCAGGCTTTATTTTATATTCTAGCTTGTAAATGTCTGCAATTTGAGTTTCTAATTCATTAACCACTATAGACATTGTATGGTAGGCATAGTGAAATATAAACTGAGCAATAAGACATGACACACAAAATAGCATATTTATCATTCTTTTTAATATTTTCTTTCAAATTAAAATATATATATATATTTATAGTTAAAATTTGAATTATAAACTAAAATGTGATGCCAATTTTATTGAATACAATGATAATAAAGTTGTATAATTAAATTTTGGAAATAAATGTCTCAAATGTTGTGGCATGTGTTCTTTAACATGTCCATATTGAGAGGGCTAACACTCACCTGAATGGTTATCGCTGCTCGTTTCATCCAAATGAATTGTATTCGCTGCCTGTGGCCCCGGAAGTATCGCTGAATTGTCACAGCTGCTTGACGATGTTGAAGAAACACTGCAAAATACATTCTCCTATGAATTTTTATATGAATTAAAATGAATGATAAACTCTGTAAAAATTTCCATTTTATATATATATATAATATAAGCTATTACAAACAAAACTAAGAGCTTTAGTTTTTTCCATAATTATAAAATACTCTGGAGAACTTAAACAAAACTTTACTATAGTTTACTATTTGTCTACCTTAATCCACTTATCCTCATATTAACACTTTTCACCCAGCAGATGGGTATACACTTGGTAAGCACAGGAAGATTGCTCCATTTGTGTACATTCCTATGCAAACTAAACATGTATGTAAGTGCATTACTATACTTATTTTTTCACAATAAAATATAATCATATTACATGGATAAGAAACATTCAGTAAACAAAGAAAACTATAAATCCAACATTATGGTGAAGGGTACATTTAAAAAATTTCCAATCATTATAACACTGGATATAATACAAACAGATAGTGTACCACAAAGAAGAATGACAGTATAACAAGATTTTTCACCTTTTCTCTGGACAAATCTTTTCCAGTGTTTCTGTATAACAATAGCCATAGCTTTCACTAAGATTTTTCTTTTATCTTCTAAAGGTTCATGCATACTTCCCCTTAAAAATACCTAGAAAACAATATTCCTTTTCAAACATTATTGAAATACTGATAAAATATAATTTAATTTATTAGAACTCTGCAATTTTTATTGAAACAAAAAATTAATTATTTTGTAACAAACATTATGTCCTAAAGGATGCCAAAGTAATACGATAGAAATCTTCAATAAACAACATTTAAAAAGATACAAAAAATGTAAAGTCATTACAAGTTTTACAGCTGTTTTCATTTCCATATGTATAATGTAGTTTTCAAGTTGACCAAAGGGGAAAGTGCTAGTTTATAACACATCTTAAAAAGTACTTCAGTCATTACTAAAACATTAAATAATTATTAAAAGCACAAATTATTTTTTTTTTTTATTTATCAGGATACAACTAAAAGATTTAACAATTTATAATAACATTACATTATTAAACAGTTCATACGGTTTTTGTGTGAAAATCTCTACATTGATTTTACCAAAATTACAAAATAAAAACACACACCTTTAACAATACAAACTATCATTTATAACACTTTTTATAACTATTACTATCTTATGACATTAGGACTTCTGTTCTTACACATACATATACACTCACAAATTACACATACTACCTTTGATCTTCCAATTTGCCATTCTGATATGGCCACATCAGTACTTTTCAGTATTATCTCTATTATTTCATAATATTCTGTTGTCGCATCTACATTCCGAACCAAACAACGATACCTCTGAAGAAACTCCATGAAAGAAAGATGGATTGGAAAACCCTAAAAAAAATCAAAACATAACTATTACACATTCATATACACTCAGAGCAAACACAAAATTTCTTTTAATAATTTAGTAAAAAAATGTAAAACTTCTAACAGAATATAAATATTTGATTTTGTATCTCTCAATACTAACCAAAAGAAACATAATCAAATATAACACTCTTCCACTGTCACTGTATAACTAGAGAGTTTTGTATAGAACATAACATCTCTATGTAGTGTTGTAGGTGGAGCACACCCATAAATAGGTTTCACAGGGAAAGAAATAAAAATCATTTTTCACGTGGTATACAAGGTTACCAGCCTCTCTCAGTATAGTGATAAAATCATTTCCAATTAAGCATTCATGAACACAGAAAACACCTAACAATATAAAAGTTTAAGGTAGTAAACTTTTTTTTTATGATCAATGGCCAAAGTATTCAGAAAGCTCTTGCACTTTCAAAAACTTTTAAGAAACTTAAAAATTCAGATTACTTCTCTTCTGATCCGAATTATGTCTAACATTCCTAGGTATCGAAGCTGCAGCAGTACTTGTTCTGAATCATACATATTTGGAATTTTTTTTGTGTTTGGTTTGATGCAACGAACATACCTGAAAAAGAAAGATATATAAAACAAAGTTCCCTCCCACAAGAATAACACAAAAACATTCAATATGATTCTGATCTAAGACAAAAAGTTAACAGTTTTTTGTAAAGGAATTGAGAAATAAAGAATCTCATTTAAGCTTTTTTAAAGATGCTTCATATTTCAAAGAAAACATAGCACAATTAAATTCCTCTATTTCATGCACTATATACCTTGTTTAAAACATGAATAACACTTCAAAGGTGGGATATTTTCAAATGCTATTAAAAGTATTGAACCTTTTTTGTATGGATATGCAACTGACACATAGGTCAGTTTTTCTTCTCTCAAACTATGATATACAATAATTATTTTCACAGATTCTTCACATTAGATATTCTTTGTGTTAATCGAAAGAAACCTAAATATACATGTTAAAAGTCAAGAACAGCAGGTAAAATGACTTCAAGCTGTTTATTGTAACCTATTTTCAATCAAAACAATGAATGTTTTTGAAATAAAAAGAAGTGTTTATAGTAATTAATATTGTACTTATTCAATATTTTCAAGTAGCATGTCAGTAAAATAGTAAAGCCACTAAAAAATATGGAGTTTCATTAATACTTTTCTTTTACTTAAAGTCAGGAAGTTTGTGAATGGAAAGACCTTCATAAGTTATGAACAATAACTTATGAAACTTGGCATACACAAATCTTAATAAGAAAAACTAATTACCAAAACTTTATATGGTATTTGTTATTTTCAGCCTAAACAACATACATGTGCTAAATGGATAAGTCAAAGACACCAAGGTTCAATTATATCCATAATTTAGAACTGCTCATCAGAGGGAGGGCAACAAGTCACCACAATCAACTGCCTACAGGGGTACTCTTGACCACTGTAATAACATGCCCACAACTGAAAGTGCAGAGTATGTTCATTGACATTACATTCCACAGTCCAGCATACTAACCACTAGTCCACACCTAACTGAATGTAATTTAACAGACAAAGACCTTTACAAAAAGAATAACATATTTTTATTTAAAATATTACACGTGAACATTATGTCACTTATGGAAATGAAGATTTAGGTTTAAAATATGCCCTCATTGAAAAGACATAAATTGACTATAAATACATTTCTTTATTATCAAGACAGATGACAATTTTAACAGAAAGATATTCTGGTGGTAATAACAATATTGATCCTACTCAATTCCAGCAAAACTATTCTATTAAAACTATAACAAATCATGAAATTACTTAAACTGCTCTTAAACAACTGAGTGCATATAATAAGAAATGAGTACGTCACATAACTACTGAAAGAAATCTAGTTATTTAATCTGTATGTCACTGGGACTTACTAAGACTTTTAGAAAGTTCTGTAGTCTGTCATGAAATTATCTGATTACATACACTCACCAAGGATTTGTTGAATGTAAAAGATCTACTAGAGCAGTTAGTTGATATCTAAAAGCATCTGCAACTGTTGGACGACCTTTGGTCAATGTGCGAGAAATAGTGCTTGTTCCACTGCCTAACCTTGCTATGGTGACTCCTAGTAAGTCCTAATGCAAAAATAATATGATAATTTTATAAAATATAGCTTTGGATAATATCCCTTGAAGGAGATCAAGCTGGGCTTTGAACAAACATACATATGAAAACGTTTTTTTTTCTTTTTTATCCTGCATGAAAATCAACATGAACATAATATAGGGGAGTATGTCTTTATACATTCTAAAAGAGGAATTTAATACAGCAATATTTAACAGAACAGCAAAGAATTGTTATCTTTTGGCATGAAAACTAACTATTATTAGCTCCATATATTTAAGAACTGTGAAAATTATTCTTTACAATAGAATTTTAAAATACTTTTTTAGAAAACTTCAAAATTACAAATCATCAGGACATTTCTCATGAAAACAACCTGAAACTTGGTAAGTTCTTGAACAAAAACATTGGAAGACATCTGCATTAGTTCAAAAAACTGATCCTGTTGGACATCTTTGTTTTTCTCCAGGAAACCATCCACTCTGTAAATAACTTCTCCAGCATAATGCTTGATCCCAAATTCCAAATCCCAACGCCTACGATCTTCACCACGAATATAATTAGAATGGCCTTCAAACTCTTGATGGAGTTTGTTGACATAGCTACAGTCTGTTCCCTATTTCAAAAATGAAATTTATAAAACATCCTGGCATCATATCATACACACATATTTTGTGTACTTCACTATAAAACAACGATTCAATATTGCAAAGAAAAGTTATGGTTGAAAATTTATATTTTCAAGTATTTTACTAATTAGTAAGGACTTTCTACAGCTAAGTGCATGTAATTTAAATTAACATATACGAATACTTAATTCATACACATTTTGCACAGTTTATTTGTCTTTATACAAATATGTGTCGTCATAAAAAATCATTAACACAGAGTTCTCCCAGACAAAAAAAAAAGATGCAACAAATTAAAAACCAAGAGGCTACAAAATATCCATAATTGTGGCATTAAATTTGGATCATTGTTAATTTTTTTATAGAGCAAAGCCACATTGGGCTATCTGCTGCGCCCACCATGGGTATTGACCCTAAGATTTTAGCATCTTAAATCTGTAAACTTACAGCTGTCCCATCAGGGGACAATTTTGGATCTGAAATACTCTTTAGTTTGAAATTGTAGGTTATGTATAAAAAAACTACTAAATTTGCACAAATTTAACATTCTTCAGATTTTTTACATTGAATGGTTAAATGTGTACTGAAAAAATGGTAAATTTCAAAAACTCTTGTTTCTGGAGTCTTCTGGCTCAGATATGCATATAATAAACGTTAAAATACTATTACATGGTTATAATATCCTCACAGTCAAAAGTGCAGTTTGTTACTCCTCTAATACTGCATCCAATGAATATTAAAACTATGACAGTACTTGAAGGTAACAGTTAGTAGTTGTGTGTTCAGTGAGTAAGGTAGATTCTATTATTTCTTTATTGTTACTTTCATGAAGAATATTGATTAGAATATTTAATATATTCAATTTTATTATTTTTCATTTGTATTTTTATTATTACAATTTTATTAGAAAGACTGTTTTGCAATGTTAGTTTATTAGGTATATTTAGGACTAATCTAAATAATCTAAGCAGGCTGAATCTCTTGAGATGTTACTGGGCTTGTGGACAAAAATATTGTTAACAATGACTAACTGATGAAACAATAAATTCTAATCTTTATAAGTAAAAATGTAGGAAAATTATATTTAATTAGCTATACTCATTGTCAAGTTGATTTCTAGTTTTGCTCTAAGTATGTAGCTTGTTCTGAGAAATTATTATTAATTATTTCAGTTACTCTTTAAGGTTCAGTGATACTTTAAGTAAGAACTAAAGCATACAATAGGAAAAAAAAAAGTGAAAAATCATCAAAAGGAATCTATTTTAAATATATATCTTTATTTCAAAACACATCATAATTATTAATTGTGAATAAATTCCATTTTAATTCAAAACCTTCATCTATAAACATATTAAAACATTTAATAATTTATTTCTTTATTACCATAATACCAAAAGACAGATGACTCTTAAGTATATTTTCTGTGGCTGATACTTTGCATAATTACAGTATAAATGTGTTCCTTAGGTTATGAAGATTTCTACAATTTATCTGTGGTACATACATTGTCCTTGAGCAAAAGCTCACTTTGTTTCAAGTACAAATCAAATACTACCTTTGGTATCCTACACTCTTCTGTTAGCAGTCGTAGTATGCATTTTGGCGGCTGTAAATAAACAAATACATAGATTATCAAACTACTCTTGATTAATGGTAACAGTGTCATATATCTTACACTATTTTGGTGGAGATTTTGTTTAGGTACACATACTTTAATACTTTTAACAGTGAAAGAGTTTGCAACCATCTAGCTTTTCAGCAAATATGTTTTATATTTAAGTCTAACTAACGTTTTTTAAATCTTACACATAAATAAAACACACTACAGAATTAATTAGGTGGTATACATGTCAAAACATGAACTCCTTCTCAAAAGGTTTTTGTAACAAAGTTATGGCTTTTCCTGTGTTTATCTGTGTTGAGAAATACTTTTCTTAATCAAGTTCTCACCATAGGTTACTAAGATTTTGTAACAGTCAAAACACATTTTCAAAATGTTTTTTTAACAAAAAAGTACAACTAAGTCCTACACAGAAATTTAGATCATGGAAGATTGATGCTTTCATTGTATAAATTAGTGAAAGTGCTTTACCCCATAATTCCTCCCTTCAGGTCCTTTCTTTCAGAAACTTGCACAGGTATTGCGTTATCAGAATGTTACACTGAGTTGTTTAAAAAATCTTAAAATTTATATTCAAATTATGAAACCTACACTCACAAATATGTTCAAAATAAAATAGCATAGTTCTTTATCATAACTCACCTTTATGAACTGACTGTTGCAAAACACATTAACAAAATTAGTTGGATATTTTAATTGTAAATAAAACAAAGGTGGATATATGTGTGTCTATTTAAGTACAAACACATGGTGATAATAAGTTAAAAAACTGTTCAATTCTAATACAACTGCTTCTGGCAGAAAACTCAAAGACATGCTTGTGATACAAAACACAAAAAAACAAAAGCAATCCTGTGTAATGCAACATATATGATTACAGGCAAGTTATAATAATTGACATGTATATACATGAGTTCTTATAAGGCATTTCATTTGTGCTTTTTTAATATTCAAAATGTCTACCTCATAATTATATTACTTAAAACCGGCATATATGGGTAAATAAATATAAAAAAAAATTTAATTACCACTCAATAAAATGTTTTAGATACAAAAGAAAAATATGATAAACATATTCTAACACTAACAAGTTGAGAGTGACAATATTTTGGTGTAACAGTAATGATCTATTGATCTATATATATATATATATATCTTTCACCTTTTCTAGTAGTTCAAGGCAGGCTGAATTGTCCGTGAAAGAGATGTGAGAGAATGCAATCTCCTCTTGCCTGTACTACAAAAACATAAAAAAACAATAAGATGTTGGTTACATGTATACAACATACATATTTAGTTATAAAATAGCAATATTGTAGATTATCATTCTATAATGATCACCTGGTTTACACATTTTTCTCAAGCCCAAAGTACTAGTAGTATAAAACCAGGTTAAATTTCATAACAAAGAAAAAAAATATTGTTTCAAACACATCTTTATACAGATAATGAAAACATTTCTATAAACTATTCTGTCATGGTATGGTCATGTAACATTAGTTTTAAGAAACAAAAGAAAGGTGATATATGTATTTTATTGCCACATAATCAGATGCCTTGATAATATTCAAAATTCTAGCTTTATAATTACATAAATTCATATTTCCTGATCTTTTACAAGAAATAAAAAAATAACAAAAAACTCACTATTTCTTGTTCTAAAGCAAACACATAGTGGTTAAAGAACTTGTGGAGTTTTTCATTGGTAAAGTTGATACAAAGCTGTTCAAAACTATTCACCTAGGAAGATTTATTAATAAAATAAATCATACAGCACAACAAACCAAGGAAACATACAGTTCAAATGATTGCTTAAATCTCTCATTACGAGCTCAATCAATTTCACTAACCATGTGACCTCTTTGTACTTGTTTAAAATCTTTACAGATTTAATACTTCTAACTTTCAATATAGTGTGTATATCTTCAATAAATTTGGCAGTCTTTCAGTTAGCATTACAAGTCTTTCACATCCAAAAAATCATATTTTTTAGTGAAGTATTTCTAATAAAATAAAAT